AAAGGGAATAATTTTGAAATTGCCTTGATTGTTTACCTTATAACTTATATTTAGGTCTTATGGCAGCTGCCATTACTGTTTCACTCAGTTGGAAAAGTTGTCCTATATTTTCTATCCATTAATCTATTATTTGTATAGCTTTATATCCTTTTGGCCAAAACATGTGTGCACAAAGAAAAGAACAAACCAACCCAGCCTTGCTGGTTTTGGTCAGAAATCCAAAACTGTCAGTAAGATGTTTCAATAGGATGCCTAAGCTTCTGTTCAGTCGTCTATAAAAGACAGGATGACAGGTCCAATGAACTATAACAAATATAAATGGAAAATTAAAAATTTAAGCCTACTAGAAGAGTGGATGTATGTAGGCTATTATAAAATAATTATTAGCAAGACTGGTAAACTTTTTTACAACTAACAGCACAGTTTAGGAGAGCACATGCATTGGCAGAGGCCTCTGTTTCTGGGGAAGAAGAATTACTACACAGCAGTTCAGCATTTCGAATTCAGCCTCTCTTTTCCAGGTGCTTGTTTTCAGTGTGTGTCATGCGGTGAGGATGTTTGGGCTACCCGTGGTGTGTGCCAGAGTTCTCCAGGTTTAGGGTAGTTTCCTGAGGAACTCAGGCTTTTACCATCTTTGTAAATAAACTTTGAACCCTTGTTGTTCCTGACATCCGTGAGCATCTTCCATACTTTGCATTTGTGGTAATTTTCATGTTGCTCTTAAGCTCGTATATTGAGCAGGTGGGATGATCTGTGAGGTGTGTGTATTAGGAGATCTTCTGCATTATGTGCGTGTGATACAGCATAAATAATGCTGATTTCCAGCACTAGATTGACACAGTTCGTCTGCAGGGTTTTCTTTACACCAACAGCAACATTTGTCAGTTTTCTTCCAGAAAGACTTTTGAACTCTTTTTGTGAACAAAAAATAACTATTTGGCATGCAGAAATTATCTGTCGTCCATACTATATGCACAGCTTTTTATGGTTACTGTTACTAGCATGCATGGTGTTTTAAACTTCTGGGTTAACCTAAAAAGGAGTTCAGAATTAGATCTGGTGTATGTAGTGGGTTTGTTTAGTAAACTATGAAAAAGACCAGTCTTTTGGATGACCTTCTTTGATCAATGCAGAAAATTGTACATAAATGAAAGTAAAGTTGAGGCTTGTGAGCATGGTGGTATGTCAGGGAGGCTTCTTAACTTGCCTTAACTGAGAGCTGAAGTATAAGGAGTAATTAAAACTTAAGTTAAAAGGAGAAACTTAACAGTTTAAAAAAAGCGATCTAAGTATAACTACTGTGTGTTTGGCTTTCCAAAACCTTTGAATTATTCATGTTGCATTTTATTTGATTGCTTTTGATGATGTACATATGGTTATTACGCATGTAGACTGTAGCCTTCTGTAGGAAAAGATGTCTGTTAAGGACAATAAATGTTACTTAACTGGCTACATGAAAAAAACACCCTCCTTGCTTATTCCAGAAATACACCCCCATGAAAACTATCCACAGTAGCTGTTCAAATCTGTTGCTGAATTAGTAGCTTGTTTCTGCATTATTTCTCTTGCGGTTTCTTCTTGCAGTGCATTTGCTTTATTTATTCTCGTGGTGCTGGTACATTATTTGAAGTTACTACGGCAACCTGTCACCCTCTGCTATTATAAAGTATGCTGGGATTTAGTTGCTAGGTGCTGAAGTTTGTCATCTTACTCATATGACTCTAATATTTTTAAGATGTTTCTTTTGCTCTAAGAGTTGCATCCATAGCTTGTATGCACTTGAATGGCAGTGGGGGGAGTTATTTTTTGCAGGCTCTCTCTGCCTTGACCTCAGTGCCCCATTTGTTCTCCTGAATGCACCTGTGGTCTCTCTTCATGTACACAACCAAAATAGTCGTGGTTTTTTTTAGTCCATGGTTTGCAATATAACTTCTAAAGCCAGACAATGTTCTTGTTTACTGAATTTTGATATTAATCATGTTTTGTTTGTTTGTTTTTTTAGCCAATGAGTAGTTTGGCTGCTAGAGAAGAGATTTTCTCCTCTGTGTCTCATTCCCTATTTACACTGTATTTCTGTTTGTGATAAAAGTGCAGTGTTTATACCACCTATTTCCTTATTTCCTCACAAACTGTTTGGAAGGCTGTCAGCCACTTGGTTAATTCTGAAATTAGAATTCAGCACTATTTCTATTCATGAAGTCTTTAAAATTCAAATGCAACTGAATGTTATAAATTTGAAAATATGTGCTTGTTAGAGCTTCTCTTCAAAACAGTGCAGTATTTCCAGAGAGCTTTTCCTGCTAACGTTTCTCTTAGTATTCCCTTATTAGTCAAGTGTTTACTTGGGTAACTTTGGGTTTTGCACATTTGACCTACTTCCAATCAAGCATCTCTGCTGTGATACATTAGATAAATCCTAACAAGCCTAAGCACAGCTGAAATGACGCTGCAAGGTTTTACTTGAAGAATTTCATCTCCTGTGCTGCAACCTCTTTTAATATCCAATGATTACATACAGTGCTTGATTTTAAAAGCAACAACAACAAAAAGTTGAGACTAAGCAGCCGGCTACTGTGTGCGTAGGCGGTGCTGGATTCGGAGTTTCTGCTGTCCATCTCGCGCTGTGCAAGTCTCAGTGAGGGCTCTTGTGCACAACTTGCTTTGATTTCAAGCACTTTGGCTTCTTTGCCTGTGTTAGCAGAGGCACTTGAGCAGCCCAGAGATTCTCTGTCTCCTCTCAGGAGGTCTCATCCTGCCTCCAGCCCCAGTGCTGAGGGCCGAGGTGCTGAGTGTGCCCGGGAAGCGCCTCTTCCCTTGGACACTGGGACAGGGACAGGCTCCTAGCTTGGAGAGGAGCTAGCCCTTCATTTCTACCTGTGGGGATTGCTCGTGAGAAAATGATTAAAGATCAAACAGTATTGGGGTGTTTTCCTGCCTTACAGTTCCAGGCAGATGATGAAGGAAGTTTTTGTAGCAAACCACCTTTTCTGTCACTGTCTTTTTTTATAGGCATCAGTCACAGTGATGTCAATGTGACAGGTTTGGTGTGAGGCACGGGCTAGCAAAATATGATCTCTTTTTATGGGTCTCTCTTCAGTGGTCAAAACCTGCCATATGTTAATTTTAAAATGATCATACACAGTTACCCTGAATAGGCATTCATGCTGTATCCTAATAAGAGATGTAGCTAGGCACATTTTCTAAGTTCTTTTCAACAAATAAATGAACATTCTTAAAGTCCTTGTGCCTTTAAGCAATACAGTACATGTATTCACGGCTTGCAAAGAAATCCTACTTATTTCAAAAAGTGATTATTTAAAATGAGTGAAAGGAGGCAATTGGGAGCATGTGTTTAACTCCTGAAAATGCAGACTATTATTTCCTTGTACAATATTCTCTAACTTCTGTCAGTATTTTTTTTAAAATTAAAATCAAGGCATCATAGCAAAAACCATCACAGTTTCACTACTAGATCCTTTACAGTTCATTATTGCTAACAACTGTGGATTAAAAATCACTAAAAAGACTTGTCTGAGCCATACCTGTAAAAGTAAACTATTTTAGCAGGAAAATCAGCATTGCTTTTAGAAGAGCATCAGTCCCCGAGAGCACACGATATCTTACCTGAAAGCTTTGAGTTTACCTGCAGAAAATCTGTCTTCTCAGTCTTGCGAAGTAGGCAAGCCTCTCCCCAGCAGTAATGTTATTCCAAAAGAAGGTGTAATAAGTCCTTTATGTTGTAATTTTCCCTGTTTATGTGCAAGAAGTGAACTGGATCTGCTCACGTAGGAATAAATAAAAAAAAGCAGTACAAACTGAGCAGCAGCTACCATATGAAAGTAAAAGACCTCTAGTGGCCATAACCCGAAGTTAGGGAGAGCTGGCTCTGCCTGAGCAATAGACAAAATGGTTGGGTAAAACAAACCGCAGCTGCTACTTCAGTATCGGGTGACCTTGGTGCTTTAGTGATGCGAAGGAGATAGGAAGTGACTCAGAGGTACAGGGAGAATCTGCCCGCTGAAGCCCAGGACCAGATGGAATTAACTTCTCCTGTCTCAGGGAAAGGCGAGGCGCTCGGATCGATTCTAAACCACGACAATACCAAGTTTCACCTAAATCTAGAAAAACAATTTGTATGCTGGTGTCCTCCATATTCGCTTACTTAAAGAAAATGGGTGTGTTTAAAGCAGGTTCACTTGAAAAGAGTAATTAAAATTTATAGAGAAAAGTCAGTATCAAAGTAAAAAGCATCAATATGAATAAGACTTAAAGGAAAATTCTAACTATTAAGCTCACCATTGTAGCCAAAGAGATCAAAAATGTCTTTTTCACACTCAGTAAATTGCAGTAAAAACCTGCTTTTCATCCTGTAGCATTTCTGCTTTAGGGATTAAGAAAAATAGAATATTTCCTTTTGAGAATCTTGGAGAAAGGTCTTGAGAGATGAAAGCGATAGTATTATTCTATAGAAATTTTGGAAAGTTCTATAACGAGTACTCAGAAACATGGGGAATGTATACCCTCCTTGCAGTGTTTTTTCTTGTGCAGGACTGTAGACTCTATTGTTAGCGTAAGTTGAAAAATTTGGTAGTAATATTTTAGTTTCTATGGATTCCTGGTGAAAAAATCCCAAGGAACATAATGCTTATTTTAGGAGTCTTAAACTAATGTTGAGTTTTGTTGAAACTGAATTTTCACACAATGTGTGTTTGCATGTGGTGTTTCACGAGTGTTGCCACTTCTTCAGTAGAGACTACTTCTTCCAGGAGCAGCTTTTGTGCTGTCCTTTTTGGGTTCTTACTCTATTTCATCCACACGGAGTGGCCAAAATACGATGTTTTGTTAATCTAGCAATTTTTTTTAGTAACATAAAAGGTTTTAGTAGACATTTAGTATAGTTCCACATTAGAGATAAGAGTTCATTGTTTGAAATAATCTAAATGTGTGTTTTCTTTCTGTTGATGTCTTTCTCTTTATATATTTATTTTTATTTTTTGTAGAGTCATTTTGTAGCCTGCATGACCGCCATCTTAAACCAGATGAACAACCAACATTACTCGGTTTATATTGAAACTTTTCAGACAAGTTCGGAACTAGTGGTGAGTACATACACCATCAGGGAGTTCATGAATATATAATTGTATCTCTACGTATTTCATTACCTGTGAGAGATTAGCAGTGTTTTTTTGGATTGCCTCATCTGGTTCTTCCTAGCATGAAGTTTATTTCTGGACATTTTGTATCTCTGGGTCATTGTCCCACTCTTTTGCTGGCTTGGATAGTGCTGCAGTCTGAAATGTGGAAAGATATACATGCCACCTTTGTTAACCCCAGTACTGAAGTGGATAATTTAACAATTTGCTATATTATATTCTCCTGAAAAACTCAACTAACCAACCCACCGTTCCTTTTTTTTGCACATACTTGTCCATTTCCACTTCTTCTTCTCAATACCAAGTCTATTTCTGTCTTGTACTAAGTGCAGTGAATCCCTTATTTTCACAGTGCCAGTTCCTACAATAGATGGATGATACCTAAGGAATATCCTTATTTATTGCAGTGGTCACTCTCTTGTGAACAGTTTTAGTAGACTTTTGTCTGTCCTTTTATTTACACTCCTGGCACAACTCTGAATTAAGTCTGGCTGCTGACACAAGCTGCAGTTACACCGTTTAAAATTTCTCTGCAGAGGTAATATTTTGAGTTGGCAGATACTCATCCCCTTCTTTAGTCAGAGTTGTCCCATAACTGAAATGCCAGCAGATCCAGTCTTGGATAGTCTTTGCAATTCTTCAAATGCTTTAGTCTGCCTATTAATATAAGAGTATTTTAATATAATTTCAGCTTCTGAGCAGCTTGGGTTAGCACTTCATTTAGGTTATATCTAGCAGTTTGAATGAAAACTATCAGTTGTGGTAATCCTTAATCAATCTGAGCACTTCTGCACAGCACGTTGAAAACAATAAATAAATAAAAGAAATGATACCAGTATATTTAATGTTTTTACTTTTTGAAGCATTGAGTTGTTGTCTTTTCATTTTTGAGTAGTGTAAGCCTGTGTCGGTGAGGATGATGAAGATTTATTTTCCAGTAAAGTTGTTGAGACTTCTTGTGCATTTGGTTTCCTTTAAGTAATTTGCCCCGAAAGAGTGCAGATTTGTGCAGAGAGCTGCTTGTGAGGTTTCAGTAATAGATGGTGACATATGAGCTTGCGATGTGCTGTGGCCTTGCTCAGAAGTTCAAGGGCAGAACTGCCTGTCTGCAGTAGATATGTAAGAGACTTGAAGTGATTTTGTTAATTTTCTTTGAGTTCATTAGGCAGTGATTGTAACACATTCATAGAAAAGGACAAACTGTTTGCTTTGAGAATTTTTTGCTGTCTCTTCACTGTTTAATTTGGAATACTAAATTTAGACTAAATGGACTAGACGAGATGTATTTTTCTTATTTCTTTATTCTTTGTATATTGAGAGGCTGTTCTGCTACATAATAATTCGGCAGTTTTGCTGCAAGTTCCTCTAACTTTTTTTTTCCATTCATTTATGATTCTTTTTAGCAGATGAATGACATTTAGTTTTCATTTCAAGTCTGTGGCTTCAGCCTCAGTTTGTGGTGTCTGTTCCCCGTGGGAATCTCTTCACTGATTTCACAAGGAACACAACAATGCCCTGCCTCTTAGTCCCATAATCACAACAGGAGCACCTCAAGTCTGTTGTCTACCCACTGTCTCAAATTATTGCATTTTCTTGTTTTAGGACTTCTTGATGGAAACATTTATAATGTTCAAAGATCTCATTGGAAAGAATGTTTACCCTGCAGATTGGATGGCAATGAGCATGGTGCAGAACAGGTAAAGTGGGACTGGATGTTCTCTCTGCTAGCGAAAATTAACCTTATCTTGTGTTTTTTCATATTTGCTGGTTTTCTTCCACTTAACACTACGTGTAGAAATTCTGTCCCTAAATTGTCCTGAGAGGAGTGTGGAGGTGGGAACAGCATTTATTCTTATATGTTTCTTACCTGGATGTTACCTTCAGGGTTGTGTTTCTTCTTGCTTCTAGGGTTTTTTGATTTGGGTTTTTCCTTTGAATCTCGCATCTCAAATGTCAGTGGCAATAATGTACAACATGCCATAATTATCTGTTTCTGGTTTTCCAGTCATACAATATTGAAATGTGTGACTAGAGACTACGTACAGTTTACAGTCTCCTGAGATGGCTGGTCTTAAGGAAAATAACTGCTTTAAGACAAATCACAGGGTTGTAATGTTAGATATATTTTGACCTAGATTTTGAATGGGGCGATTTTACCTGAAAATCTTCTTGTTTGTTTATATGTTACGTGATTCAAAAGTACATTGATTGTTTCACTGTGTGTGATGGTGGCAGTGAGGGCTCAGGTGCCTAAACGTGCATTTCTCACACGCATCCACTGATGTTCATGAGGATGGATAGCTAATCCCTCCTCTGAGATAGGGAGGAGGGTGTGTGTGTGTGTGCTAGCTGGGTTGTTCGTTTAGAACTTTCTAGTTAAGATTATATAAACAGATAACATCCCATTTCTTTCCCTGCCTGAGCCGGGTTTTGGCCTATAAAGATAAAATGTAGTTCATTGAGCATTTTTATGCTGCTGCTACTTGCAATTATTTTTTATGTGCCAGTGATGATTCTGAAAAAGGACCAGCTCAGTAATGAAGTAACTTAAAAGTCTTCTTTTGTGTGAAAATATATCTACCTTTTAATATATGTAACCACTTTGTGCATTTGGGAAAACTTCTGTGTGCATTATTCACAAGTTATTATTTGACATTTGACATTATTTGAATTTCTGTAGGGAAAAACATGTCAATCCTTGCAGAAAGCATTCAGAGTTGGGGTTTCACTGAATAAATATCTATGTTGGCTCTATTACTGATGTTAGAAATTCACTTGTGGAACTGTATATTTGTTGAAAATTTCTCCTAATGTGTCTGAGTTTTGTGGGCTATTTTGGTGCTGAGGGGTTTTATTGCTATCAACTTTACCCTGCTGTGGAGGAATCAAATGAAAATACTTCAATAAAAAAGTCGGCGTTAGGAAAAAATACAAGTAATTTAGCAGTGCTGCTGTAAACAGGTAGGCTACTTAAATTTACTTGACATGGTTTATGCTCATGGTATATACTTAAGTAAAGAAGATGAGTTGTCTTTCTTTCTTTTATGCCTTAATTTTAGGCTGTAGTATCAAGAAGTGGGAGGGGAATCTGTTATAAGTGATTGTAGAAATGATTTACTAACCAGGAGCGGGAGCTGGGGGGGAGGTTAAGAAATAAATAGAGGATTAAATGAGATATTTGGATGTGTCTTAGTAACATGCTTTTCTCCGAACTGGAGAAGTAGGAAGGGAAAATAGAAGGGTGACAGGCCAGGGTTTCTGTAAAATAATCAGGAGAGATAAAGCAACTATTCAACACAGCTCAGTTTCTAATTTCAACTGACCCGACTGATAGGCTGCACATCAGCCTTTTTAAGCCCCTAAAGAGACGTTTTCTGAAACAACATAAGTAATTTCTCTGGAAAACAGAAGTACCAGGCTGCAGGGCATGTCTAGTCTGTCATTAGCCAAGGGCCCCATGGAGCTGGCGCTGCTTCCCTGCAGTCATCCGGCCAAGAAGCCTCCCCGGGTCCTCTGGTCCATTAGGGATCCTGCAGGGAAGTGGCCCTTGGATGGGTTTTGCTGGAGGATATTCGGTGGTCCAGAAATGTAGCATCAATTCAAGGCAGAAGGAGAGGAAGAAAAAAGGCTAGTGCTGCAGGTTTGATCCTGTTGGTAGGTCAAGCTATTCCTAATTACGCTTGTATGTAAATACAGATAGGCAGGGATATATATATTTTTTTCAGATGTCTAGTTTATATAAAGGTGGGAAAAAAAAGAGAGAATGGCTTCTTAGATATAATCTCTGGACCCTTTAATTTTACCTTGAATTGCAATTTGCAATTTTCTTCTGCTTCTTTCCGAAAAACAGGTTCTTACAGACAAGTAACTGCATTAACATGCCAGACATAACTGCTTTCAGGGCTGTTTTGACTGATTACAATCAAAGTGACTCTAGTTTCTGTGTTTTTTCCTTTTTTCTTTTATCCTGTTTAGGAGGAACACAGTCAATATCAATCCCTTTGGCACAGGACCTCTATGTTCTGCATTTGCGTAATATTGTTGTGCTGAAAACCTTTGCTCTACAGCTGCGTAGTTCATAAGCACTAGCGAAATCAAACTCCTGTGCTGTGGTGTTTCTCAAAGCAAATTGCTATTCCTAAAGCTGTTCAGAGTTTGAAGGAGGCAGAGGCTGTGTACATTGCTATCCCTGGCCTCAGAGAGCTCTACTGCAACTAAGAACCTAAAAAGAGAGCAGATAACTTTTATTTTGCCTTCCTTTTAGCATCAGAATGGACAGGAGGTTCTTTCTGCCCTCCTAGACAGGGTGCAGAACATTTTGGGAAATAGCAGAGACCTCATTTAAGCCATTAGGATTTAATATCTGAATATTTTGTGGTCATCCCTGGTAGTTTTAATTATCTCCTGTTCTAATAAAGGTTGCTTACTGCACACTTCTTACTAGCTGTTACTGCTTGTGTGTGCACTTTGTTCTGCTTGTGGTCCTGATAGACTCTTGGCTATTAGCTTATTAAAAGCAGTAATTCCTAGGTACATGGCATTTGCTTTGCTTTAATACCATATAATCTGCTTATCTCTCAGCTATTCAGAATTTTAATTTAGGGACACACAACTCCTCCTGGGCAATTCCCATGCCTCATTGTCAGCACGGGCGGCCTGGGAGCAAGATTCACTGAGGGGAAGAAACGGTTCGAGGGGTTGCAGCCACAGGGAAGGATTCACATCCTTTCCTTCCGTTCCTCTGGACTTTGAAACGGTAATTCCTCTAGGATAGGCTGGAAGTAGCCAATTTTATCATAAAGAGTGAGTCAGTTTTGGTTGTAGTCCAGTCTAATGTGGTTTGGTAACCATCTGTCCATCTGAACAGCTTTTTGAACTATGTTGGCAGTATACTCAAGTATTTAAGGCTTAAGAGAAAGCAGGCTTTTTTTTTTTACCAATACATGTTAAAGTCGAAGCCTTTTTGCTGGAAAACTTAAATGTGATAACACTGTAGGGTATTTTCTAGCACCAGCAGTAAGACTTTTTATAAAATATCTTACCCTTATCTTATATCTGCGTGTTTTCAAATGCCTGTCTGAGTCAACAGTTTCCCAGCCCTTCTTAAGTCTAACTTGACAGGCTTAGCACTGCAGGTATTCCACAAAACACCTGAAAATGTTCCAATTTTCTTCCGTTATATACCCCCAAAATAGCTACTTGATTGCTGATGAACTGCTTTGTAACACCCTTAAGACCAGGTTTTCAAGTAGCTCACACGTGGCAGCAGGATTCATTCAGCCACGTCTCATTATGGCTTCAAGTCGGTGCCACCTGTATCCCCCGCATCTGTGAGGCTGCCAGGAAGTCTGGGTGCTGTTGGTGTCACCAGCTGCTGGCAAAGCAGCAAAGTGAGGCAGGAGGGCTTGGTTTGTAATCCGCGACAGCAAAATAATTTGAGAGAGATATGGCAGGGATTTCAGACCCTTTTTTTTTTTTTCTCACGTAACATCTGCAAATGGCTGTGTTAAACTTGATTACTGAGGAGCAGATATTCCATGTTTGGCACATGCGTGGTTTTCAACATCTCTACTTTTGAACAGAGGAAAAAAAAAAAGGAAAAAAAAAACACTTCAGTGAAGTAAGTAGCTGCTTAAAGTGTTCTCCTTTGGATCACAAAATATTGCATTATAAGGAAGCGTCATTTATAAAGCCCAAAATTTAATTAGCTAGCACACATTACAGATTCAGTGTCTGTTAGACTGTGTATTTTTTAAAATTCTGCTGAGAGAAAACTTGAACAGCAGGTTGTCACAATTTTATACATATTATTCAGGGATGGTGTTTATAATGGTTTGAGAGGGAAAGGTTATTGAACAGTGTTGGCAATAAGTAGGGAAATGGGCCTCTTAAGTATTAGTGGGAGAGGTATTGCAGACTGTTTATTGTTGCTATCAACTTAGCATATTTTATTAAAAAAAATAACTCAAATATTAGAACTTCTTAGTCTTCCATTTACATTTTGGAGGAACAGAAAGATTACCTTCTTTTCATAATTTAGGAGTATTTAGTTCTGTGTTCTACAAAAAAAAAGGCTTGGCTTATTATTTTTTTAACTTGCAGAGAATACAAAGTCATATTTTGTTTATTTATTCCTAAAAGCAAATATAGGTATACTTCGGGTTAGTTTTAGCATTATTTTTCAACAGTATATTAGGATTTAAGATTATGTAACTAAAGAAGGATGAATGAAGGTGGTGTGGAAGAAGATTTTTCCACTGATTGACAAGGACAAAATTTCAGAGGCCAGTCTATCATATATAATTAATCTTTTCTTTGATTTCATTTCCCTCCAGAAACTTCTGACTGTCCAAAACAGAGTTGACAGAATTCACTTGTTTTTAAGGGCTTGAATTTTTAATGAGTCAGAATGTCTTTACACATAGGTTATGGCATATTGAAGAATTTTGTTAATTTAATATCTCAAAAAATATTTTAAGTAACGAGGATAAATGTTTAATTAGAGTACCTGTGTATGTGTGCATGCACAAAAAGTAAATCAAATATTTTAACAAATTCAGACATTTTGCACTGTTCAGTCATCACTTTAATCAGGTACATTAGTAAGATGTGTACTTGGCTTTATTTTTTTCATGATACTAAAAATGTTCTTGCTGAAATACCATTTTCTGTATTAACATAAAAGCCCTTTCAGAGGCAAA